GGCTACTGCTCTCTGTTCATCTCCTTATCTCAATGGCATCATTTCTCTTAAACAGAGTTTGGAAATAGTCCTCAATTTAAAGGTTTAAGCACTAATTTATAAAACCCCTTAGTTGATTCCCATAACACAGCAGCAGTCAAACTGGACAAGATAATGAATTGACTGAGATCATTGTCCAGCTTCATCCAAGAAAGCAGCCTCTAAAAGAAAAAAATCTTAAAATGCCTTGGAAATCCAATTTGCAAGCAGCAAAAGCAGCATATAGATGGGAAACACCAGCCTTGATCACATTAATTTTGTGACTAACTGCATTGCTTTGAAAGGGAAAAGAAAAGAAAAGATGACTAAAATAATAAGACCACTCCGATCCTCGGTTGAGTCTATCAGTACAACCAGAAGAAATGCAACTGCACAGACGACATTCACATCTGGAGGATGCAGGCACCATCAGACCCCAACAAAATAGCTGTCAACTGAAGATGAACACTGCAATTATTTATCATTTCTAAAAAGTAAATCCCAGTAGGAAATGGGATACCGGGACTGTGACATCAGTTTGGATCACAGTAGAAAAACTCTAAAGCGTTTCAAGCATGCAGGTGTGAGAAACTGGCAAAGAGTTATAATAAAAATATTCTACAACTGGAAAGACATACAGGAAAAACCTTCTAAGAGCCTAACATTTGTTTAACCACCTATTCAAAAGGTGAAACATCAAAGCAAGATAGAAATAAAGGCATGGATTTTATTTTTTTTCCGGGATCAATCTAATAAGCTGACTGCTCAGTATAAAAAGCCAGCAAGTTCAAACTCCTGCCCAACAGGTAATTCGGCCATTTGCATTTTTAAAAACTCTGACATGGAGATGTCATCAACTGAATAAATGCATTTACTCTGAGGAAAGCTGAAAATAAGATACTGATGCAAAAAAAGGAATTAAAGTAACAAATTGATATAAAATGAGAAAGTGTGTGAGAAGGCAGTGAGTTATCTTAGAGGTTTAAAACTAAAGGAAAACTGGTATTTAATCAACAGCACCCTTTGCGGAAGCCTGTATCTAAGCTTGAGTGTGGAAGTGGAGTTTTGTTTTGTTTCGTCTTTAATCTTGGGGTTTCTTTTTAAAGAACACCTTCTTGCTAAAACTCAGGTGCTTATTAAAGTGACTCACAAAAGTATTCTGGAGGGAGGACTTCACCTGACACCTCGTTTGCCTACTCTTCTCCATAGCTTCCCTACAATGTACAGGCTCGTGGACATATTTCACTCCAGAAATGAAGCTCGCTCTGTCTCTCTCTCTGTCTCTCTCTCTGTCTCTCTCTCTGTCTCTCTCTGTCTCTCTCTCTCTCTCTCTCTCTCTCACACACACACACACACACATACACACACACACACACCTGCACAGAATCTTACCAATCCAAGCAAACTAACAAAAATCATACACATGCAAAATAAAAATCCATTATTTCCAAGTCCCGTCTGTGACCTATAAGGTTGACCTCTCCACTGATGCCATGCACAGTGCTTTCTCTGCCTCATAAACATAAGCATGCTCTTACCATGGCTCGTAGAGTAAAACCGCGACGTGCTGCCTTCTGCAGTCACCAGATCAAAAATGTCCCTTCTCTCTTGTAACTTCCTTTAGCCAGCAAGTTCAGAAAGGAAACAAATCTTTGAGCACTTGCCCCAGTGTTTCAGAAGAGTGTGAACTAGCTCTTAGCTTAAAGGAGAACAGACCTGGTACTTCAGTCACTCTGTAGCTCAGAGGTCCCTCATGTACTCTGGAACCTTCTTCCCCCTCCTTCTTTACGTTTCTTTTAGTAATGAGACTAATTTTTCCAGTAGCCTTTAACTCCCTAGATTTAACAGACATGGAAAATATGACTAAAAACTTGTAGAACTGTCTAGCCTCCAATCCTTCACAGAATGAACTTTGTTGTGTTGAAGAACACCTCGCAAGCAGCTACATGCTCAGTTCCTGCTCCCTGTGCTCTGCAGCACACAACACCAAATAACAGTGCGCCATCTAGTTAGCAAAGTGCAATCTCCATCCATAAAGGGGGGACACCTTCCAACCCTGGGAGCTAAGCTTGTCAAGGTTCAGCAACTCTAAAGGTCCAATTGTTTATTTAAATAAAAAAAATATCGCTACTGGGATAATCCACATCTAGTGGATATGGGAAAATTTAGGTTATAATGGCACTACAAACTTTTACATCTAACTTTGATTTACAAGATAAAAGCAAGTTTTAAATTAAAAGGGCTTTCTGTTAATAGAGCTTATTATTCTGAAGACGGGAATGATTTTCTTCGAAAGTTGTCCCTGGGTGCACGCCTATTATCTTTGCTTTTCCCTTCCACTAATGAGCATTTATCTAAAGAGCCTGTTAATCCTCTGATGTGTGCTTCTGGTCAGAGGTAACAGTTTGAATAAAACCACTAATCACTGATCACTAAATCACTGATCATTAATCACACTCTCCAGGGCCCATGACCCGGCCATTTTCCCCTTAAGTCTGCATCACAAACAAGAAGTTTAACATTTTCAATGCCCATGCATTGCACAGGGAGTTATACGTTTCCATGTCTAGATGGGAATAAATAATAAATACCGCCACAAACTTGATGAAGGGGTGTCAATCAGACTCCAGTCAGGAGTTCACAAAGCCTCCTCTCAAACTAGAGCACACTAGAACAAGTACATCTAATTATAACAAAACACGTGTTCTTCAAGTAACACCACCTATTTAGAATATTTCCTTTATTTAACTTCCTCTGTCTCCAAATCAAAGAATACCCAAGTTCCCTGTCCTCTTCGAGCCAAAAGCTAGTCCCCGAGTTTGTTTATACTTGATTCTGCCTATCATTCTTCACTCACCCCAAAAGTTTTCTCTCTCTGTCCCCTGAGCAAGTCACAGTAGTGGTGCCGCTGGTGTTGATTTAAAGGGCAAGGGGGAAGATATTAACTCCGTTCTGTAAACTGGGCATTTAACCTCCTCCGCAGACAAACTCCAGCCTAAGAACGAGAAAGTACCACACACTGCAATGTGCTGTTTGTTGCTTTCAGCTGTCAGACACATCCCCTCACTTTGGAAATTAAACGTCTAATCTAGATCCTCTCTGCTAAACCCGATTTAGTCAGCTCCTTCATCCTTCCCCTAGAGCTGCAGGGTTCATTGGACTCCTGGCTCTTAGCTGTGTTGCTTTCCTAAATCGCCACAGGGACATGGTATTAGCATATTAGAAGTCAAAACCTTTCCAAGCGGTTTTTCTATCTAGGCTGAGCATTCTCGCCCGGGAAAGGGGCCTGGCTAGTGCCTTTCTTAAATAACAGAAAAGAGCAGATTGAGCGCTCATCAGGTACTGCACTCAGACACCAGAAGCTCACTCCTGGGACAGCATTCCCCCGAGGCAAACTGTAAAAGGCGGGGCTGGCCCACTGATAACGAGGTGGGCGGGAGAGGGTTGGAGAAGGAGGGGTCGGGAAGAGAGGGCAATAGCGGTGTCCAGGGAACCCTCAATTGCCCGGGGGTGGGGGTGGGGAGCGAAAGCAAGTTGCTTTGTCAGCATTCTGAGCCCCTGAACCCTTGAGTATCTGAAGCCCTTAATCAAACACTTACTGGCCTGCTGAATGACGTAATGGACCTGTAGCCAGGCTTTATTCTTTGACACATGTCAGGGAGAGGGAAAAATAAAAAGCCAAACAAGCTTTGCATACTCTGACACCGAAATGCACAAGCAGTCCACTCCAGTTCCCGGTCTTGAACCAGCATCAAGTGGGGGCGGTACTCGTTCAGGGAAAGTTGGAGCTTTTTCTACTAAACATCTCCTGGAAATAAATCTATGACACCCCCCTCCCCAAAAGCAGGATATAGGAGATGTAGTCCCCCTGATGTGTCAGGGGTGGGAGGGAGGGGCATCTCGGCTCTTTCTTGTCTGGACCCTCTAAGAACTTTGTGAAAACTTTAAGCGGTTCGGTGGGGAATCTGGTTTAAAGACAGGCTCCATCGCAGGGTGTTGAGAACCGCCTGTGCGCAGCGCGGCTCGGGCCCCAGCTGTCATTTGGGGCGGCAGCCCGGAAGAGGTAACTGTGCCAGCTCGAAGGGGACGGAGGCGGGAGGCGGCTGCAGGCGTGAAGGCGAGGGGCCTGGAGCACTCTGGAGTGGGAGCGCCTGGAGCGAAAGTCAAGTGCCCTTCAAGGGCAACCGCCCCTCCCCGGGCGTGCGCCCACCAGCTGCAGCCAGCAGCTGGTCTCGAGAAGTGGCTGCGGCCGCTCGGGCACCCGAGGGAGAACGAGCCCCCTGCGCACTCGCCTGGCCACCCCTAGTTGACCCGGCGCCTTTGCCGCATCGGTTGGAAGTTTGCAAACTTTCTCCAGGGGTTCCGCTGCTTCACTGAGAAACTGGGGACGCAGGGGAGGCTCCTGGTTCGCGGTCTCTGTTGCTGCCGCTGCCGCTGCTGCTGCCGCCGCCGCCGCCGCCGCCGCCGCTTGACCACACTTCAGGAGGGTTCCGCTCTTTGCCAGGGCTCTGGAGGCAAACATACACCCCCGATTCATAACTGTTCCCCGTGTCAGGGAAACTCACGCGCGCTCCCATTCACGCACGCACACTGGGTCGGACACGGCGCTGGCTCCACTCAGCATCCCTCCAGTCGCACGGCGCAGCAACCACCGAGACGCGCTCCGGGACGGAAACGGCGTGGGGTCTCTGGGTGGCTACAGGACACAGCACAACTCCACAGTCCACCAGCAATTGGGACCAGACTTCCCTCTGATCCGCCAAAGTGTTTACAAACACAAACCAAGGAGGGAAAAATGCATCGCATCCTCCCTACTCCTTGCCCTGTGACCTGCCCATTGGACCAAGTAACCTCGCGGCTGCAGTGGAGAACCAACCCCTGCAAACAAGGACGCTCCCAAGTCGGCTCGCGCGGCAAGTGCAGCGAAAGTGGCTAAATGCAAAAGCCCCAGAAGTGGCCGCGCCGTATTTTTAGGAACTTACCAAACAAGTGTGGAGAAGGCAAGAGCCGAGCCCGGGTGAAGGGACCACGTTGGACTGAGCAAAGATTACAATACATTCTATTTAGAGTGCATTACATCACCCCCCCGGTGACGTCACGTGGGATTCCTGAACTTCTAAATCATTGCGGTCCGCCGGGGAAGGAGGGAGAGAGGGGCGGGGCCCGCACGCCGAGGGGGCGTGCCCCGTCCCCGCCCCGCCCAGACCCCGCCCCTCGAGCGGACCTGGGTGCACGAGGCGGCGGCGCCCGCGACCGCGCAAGCAACAGCTTGCACAGCCCAGCGCCGAGTAACACGGCTCCCCAACATTAGTGGTATGAGTCAGCTTGGAAACAATCCTGATGGCTTCAGACAGGACCACGCAGGAGACACGAACACGAGCTCTCCGAAACGGAGTGCCAGTATGATCAAAAATGAGTTAGGTTTGGGGTGTGAACAAGAGAGATGACAATCAGACGCTGAAGTAGATGGGTGAGAGACTTTTGCACTTATAAATGCAAGACGCTCCCCCCATCCCCAAGAGATAACCAAGCTCCTTTGCCTGCGACAGCTGTGACCTCATTGCAGTGTTCTCTGCAATGCTGGCTTCTCAGCATTATATCTACACTTCGCCTCCCCTCTCCGTGTCACTCTCAAGGGCATAACTTCTTTCTTGGGCACACTCACTAGGGCTACACACAGCCCCCAGCCTTCCCTAGTCCTTCACGGTGTGTGTGAGGAGCTGAGAGTGTCGCTACTGAAGGCGAAAGGTGAATCTCAGCCAAGAGCCAAGTGATGAGCCGGATTTAGACTTCGCGTCAGCGCCGGAAGGGCCCTGGCCATTGAATCCAGAGCCTCGGTTACTGGCCCAAGCTCACCGGCTGGGAAGCAGCCGAGTCAGGGCTAGAATACAGAATCTAGGGCCAGGTCTACAGCAGGAAACGAAGACTGCCATTTTCAACGTGGGCCAGTCGCCACCACTATCACCTTCCTCATCCCGGCCAAGGGCTAGGTTTCCTTTTGGAAGCTCTCCCCTTGGGGAGCATTGAAAGCTTATTCAAAATGACCACTGTCAATCTGCAACAGTTCACACTTGGCTAAACTTTTGCAATCACACCAGGGTCATGCTCTTCTTCCTCGCAGCACCTTGGCACAATAAGAAGTGAGGCTGTGTTGTAATTATCCCTATTTCACAGGTGAGCTAAGGCAGACTCCAGAACGGTGAGCAGGGACCCCCTCCAATCCACATACAGCTCCAAATCCCACTTGGGTGCTCTGGCAGAACCAGTGATGCTCATTCTTTTCTGGTGGGTGACTGGTGGTTAGAACTTCAACAAGAACTTCCTGGCTGGGAGTTGGAGCTTTGCTTAGGAACAGTTTAGCCCCATTAAGAAACAATAATGGTTCCTGACATTTATGTAACATCTGACATTTATATAGTACCTCTCATTCCAGTGTCTCACAGCCGTGACTGTGCAGTCTGCCAGAGGATCATGACCAGACTGGCTAGGAATCATAATGCTTTACCCGAATTGTCATATTTCTGAGCTGGTTTTGACATACTAAGTGGAAGGGCTTTCTATTTCCTTTCTGGTTTGAAGTGTTTAAATGCCCCCTCCTTTCCGGGGTTCCCTGAAACCACAGGGGCTGACTACTGCCTTTTCCTTGCAACCTTCCTCAAAACTCTCCAGTGAATTGTCTGCTTGTTCTTTTTCTCTGTGGAGCACTGAAGGAACTGGGAAGGAAGACTCCAGTCCTAACCTGACTCTGAACCAATAAAACGCTAACGGTGACAGCTCAATTATCTTGGCTTAAGGAAGGAAGCAATAGCCCACTCAGCAACGGCTTCTGTGTCCACATTCCATTTCACTAACCAGTACAGCCTTGCCTGCTTTCAGCAGGGACCAACCTCCTTCTTCCTCAGAGCCCAAAGGAGCAGAGCCAGCACAGCAGAGTTCAAGCTGAGAGCTGGTGTTCTCCCCCAGAAGAATGATGTGAAGAGTTAAATAAACAAAACAGGATGATCACCAAAAGATTCACAAACCTACAAGGAGTTAAACCATTTGATTCACAAAATTCGCCTAAGAGAAGCATGAATAGATGAGTTTTAATGAAAGCACTACCCAGATTTCTTAATGGGACGGTGGGAATATTTACAGTAACTCCAGAGTTATATCACTTGCATTAACAAATGTATTCGGCCTTGGGTGAGATTTCTGTAAGCCCCACTCTTTCTATTAATGAAAGTAATGGAACTAAGACTGTCATGGGCAGGCATTCAGAGATGTTACCAAACTTAGCCAGTAACTGGAAAGGAGGATTTCCCCCACCATGTCCCGGGCCACACTACCTTCTGTTGTGTACCATGGGCACGTGGGCAGCAAGCAGCCTCTTATCAATCAGACCCCACCAACAGCTCTCACGACTGTGGCTTGCATGCCTGCCTGCCGTGTGCTGGTTCCTCCAGTCTCACCCAGGGTTTCTCAGAACTCAAGTACCGTGGAGGCAACAGCACAAGGGTGTCTCTAGGAGTAACTAACCCAGCAGGTGGTTGCATAGCCTATGGCATTTGCCCACTAAGATGCCAACACCAGACCAAGAAAGGCACCTCACCTCTGGGTCTCTGGTGGGATGTGTGGAAACAGGGACCTTTATACCAAGATCAAATCAAACTGGCTGGGATACCATCCACCCAGGAAAACCCCACATAAGTCAACCTGGTGCTGAGTTTAGACCTTTGAAGAGAGAAGTATCTAAGTATCTACACTGACTCCCTGCCAGACCCTAGGCTACCCCTTAGTTGCTAGGCCAGGAAGAAAAGAACCTTAGGGTCAAAGTCATGGATTTCCCTTTATCAAGGCCTAAAGAAATTCCATACTTAGCATATTGACAGCCTTGTTGGTACACACTGACTACTAGGCATGAACAGTCCCAAGGGATTCATCTAAAAAAGAAACTGTGCACACGAGCACACACACACACACACCCCTACTTGGAGGTCAGAGGTCAATATCAAGTTCTTCCTCAATCTCTGTTCACCTTAGTCTTTAATACAAAGTCTTTCACTGGCTTTGTCTAGACTGGCTGGTCAGTGCACCACAAGGATCCTCCTGTCTGTACAACCCCAGTGCTGGTGTTACAGGGGTAAGCTGTGGGCCTGAACTTTTTTAACCTGAATGCTGGACGCTCAGGCCCTCATGCGTACAAAGTGGTTTACCAAGTAAGTCACCCCCAAGTCCCTTGGAAGGAATTCTTTGGCCCTGTACCTTGGGTTCAGCTATCTATCTGTTCAACTCACAATGAATGTTGGAAAACCTGCCTGGTGCTGGCATTAATAAGATTGGGGCTGGAGAGATAGCTCAATGGTTAAGAGCACTGGCTCTTCTGGAGAACCCATTTGATTCCCAGCACCATGTAGCAGCTCACAGCTGTCTGTAACTCCAGGTCCAGGGCATGCAGTGCTCTCTTTTGGTCTCCATGGACACCAGGCACACATGTGGCACACATATGCACATGCAGACAAAACACTCCTACGCAAAATATAAAAAATTTAAATAGAACAAGTGTCTCCTTCCCTGCATCTAGGTTCCTACAGAAATCCCCAGACTTGGGTAACTAAGCAGTAAGCACTTAGCATGTCAAAGGTAGCTTCTTGGTTCCAACTTTGCGAAGGTTTCAGCTCAAAGGGACCCAGGAGTCTACATCTATGAATTTCATGCCAGTATCTTGGGACCTTGACATTGAGTGACACTGCTTTAGCTACTTCCTACATGGTAAGTGATGGAGAGGAGGCTGATGAGAGGGATCAGGAAAAGGGCCTGCTTGCATCATGACTTTCCTCTTCATGGAAGTCTTTTTGGAGTTTTGGTTGCTGGTGTTCTTTGTTTATTTTATTTTTGCAACACTGGAAGCTTGACCCCAGGACTCCTGTGCTCCACACTAATACGCCAGCAGCTTCCTGTAAAGACTGTAGCTCACCTCATCAAACTGCATACACATCTCAAGACATGCTTTGAGCCTTCGTCAGAGCTTCTGCAGCTGGTGCTGCCACTGCTGGAGAGACTGAGCTTTTCCTGGCTATGCTAGCTAGCAGAAGTGGTACAAAAGTCACCGCTGGAGGCAACTCAGAACACCCCCAGCTCTGGCTCCACTTGGGAAGTCTATCCCTCCTAAAACAGATCATCACAGGGTATCTTCATTACCTCTCTTGAAAGAACAAAGATTCCCAACTGACAAACCAAAAAGTGCATGTAAAGACAATGCTATAGCTTGAACCTAAAAATAGCCTCCAAAGACTTGGGTGTTAAAGGTTTGGGTGCAGGTGATGGATCAGGAGGTTCTGACTTTATTGGTGGCTTCATCAACACATGGATTGATGATTTTTAACATAATGTTTTTACTGGCTTCTTGAGAACTGCATACACTCATATAATATATTTTGATCAGATTCATGCCCCTTCTTCCTTCTAACTCCTCCCAGATATACTCTGCATCACATAACCCCAAACTTTTGTGGTTTTACAACCCTTCTCATAACCCAATGAGTTCAAGTTTCACTGCCCATATAGTCATGAGTGTGGGCCATTCACTGGAGCTTGGTTGACCTATCAGGGAACATACTATTAAAGAAAACAGACTCCGCCCCCAGCAGCCCTCGGTTGTCAATAATTCCTCAACTAAAGGTGGGGGCTCAGGATTCCCTCTCTCTTCCATGCTACAATGTTGACTGGCTTAGTCTTTGGCAAGTCTTGGCTAGGTAAGCACAGCTGCTGTAATGAGGGCAGCAGCCCTGTGGTGTCCAGAAGACATTGTTTTGATCTGGTCTTCCCTGACCTCAGGCTCTTATGGTCTCTTTCTCCTTTTCTTCGATGGCCTCTGGACCTTGAGAAGCGGGGTGTGAGATGGATGCCCCACCTATTTCTGAACACTCCAAAGACACTTATTCCCTGGGCTTCTCCAGCCGTGAGTTTCTCCCATTAACCACCAACCACTGCGCAAAGAAGCTTCTCTGAGGCCTGAGAGTCGCTTTGGTCTTTAGGTATAGAAA